AAACACTGCTGGATGAAGTTGTAAATAACTATCCTGGTCTGCTTTTGCACAGCAATGTGCGTTGGTTGTCAAGAGGGAAGGTGCTTAGCCGTTTTGCGGCTTGCCTGAACGAAATCCGGACTTTCCTTGAAATGAAAGGCGTCGGGCATCCTGAGCTAGCCGACACCGAGTGGCTCCTCAAGTTTTACTATCTCGTAGATCTGACTGAACATCTGAACCAGCTCAACGTGAAAATGCAAGGCATTGGAAATACAGTGTTATCCCTTCAACAAGCTGTATTTGCTTTTGAAAACAAGCTGGAGCTTTTCATCACGGATCTTGAAACAGGTCGTTTACTACATTTTGAAAAACTGAGCCAATTTAAAGATGCATGCACAGCAAGTGAGCCCATTCAAAACCTTGATCTCCACCAGCTAGCTGGCTGCACATCCAGTCTCCTACAGTCCTTCAAAGCACGCTTTGGAGAATTTCGTGAGCACACTCGTCTTTTTAAGTTCATCACCCATCCAAACGAGTGTTCACTGAACACAGCCGACCTGAATTACATCCCTGGTGTCTCCGTCAGAGATTTTGAAGCAGAAGTGGCTGACCTGAAGGCCTCAGACATGTGGGTGAATAAGTTCAAGTCACTGAATGAAGATTTGGAAAGAATCACACGACAGAAAGCGGAGTTGGCGAGCAAGCACATGTGGACAGAAATGAAAAAACTCCAACCCGAAGACCAGCTGATTCTCAAAACTTGGAACGCGCTTCCTGTCACATACCACACACTGCAGCGTGTGAGTATTGCTGTATTGACCATGTTTGGATCTACGTATGCATGTGAGCAGTCATTCTCACATCTTAAAAACATCAAGTCCAACCTACGATCACGTTTAACGGATGAAAGCCTCAACGCTTGCATGAAGCTTAACCTCACCAAGTACCAACCCGACTACAAAGACATCAGCAAATCCATGCAGCACCAGAAGTCGCATTAATGGTGAGTGTTATAACAACATTATTTAAAAGAATAAATTCAGAGGCTTATTATACTGACATTTAGTTGAATTCACTTTTAAAATATATTATATGGCTCTCACTGAAATAAATTTCCAAATTTTTTGCTTTCATGGCTCTCTTAGTCAAAAAGGTTCCCGACCCCTGCCTTAGACACTGTGTAAATACTCAACGCATTGCGCTGTGGTTACAACTGCAGTTGTAATTCTGTTAGGCTGTGGCGATGTGTGCACACAGACCCCGGCAATGGAGGTGGCACAGCCGGGGCTGGCTCCGCTGTTCGGCCGCACGGCCCCTCTCTGGGTCACCAGCATCACGGCCACGGCAGCTGGAGGGGTCACTGGAGTGTGGCCCCTGGGGCTGGGGCCCACGATGCATGGGGCCCTACCACAGGCGTTCCGAGGAGGGGCAGGGTCTTTCCCACTTCACACGTTCGACGAGCCCGTGCTGCCCGAGCCCACGCGCTGTACGTTTGCGTCGCCAGAAGTGGGGTGCTGTTGGGCAGTGCGCAGCGCTGTCCTTCCCTTGCGCTGCTCTGTAACAGCTAAACTGTAAACTAAGCTACTAGGTAGGGCCCACTGAGCTATACAGGAATCCCTCGCCAACCGCGGATTTGCCAACCGTGGTTTCATGTATGCATGGTTTATGATTTGTATATTAATTTACCAACCGCGGCCTGGAAATTTGAGTATCCGCGGGTAAGCATGCGTTTCCACTGAATCGGATGCCATTTCATCTAAAAAAACAGACGTATTTAATATCAAGTCTTCTCTCGCATGTGAATGGTGGACGTGATCAATGGTAAAATTAGCCTTTTCTAAAACCATTTAACTCATGTGGCTGATTTTTCTTTACAATCTTTCTGAATAATTAATACACGTCCCATAATAGGCGAATGAGTGTAATCATTGGTGTCAAATTTGTCTCGAAGAATGATTGTGGCATCATTCGATGGTTGAGGTATTTTGTGTAAAAATTTTGTCCATAGGCACGTATAATTTTTACCCAGCACCGGGTCCCGCCTTGTTTGTATCAGATCTAATGTTCTGGTCGAGCCGCCATTATAAGAATTGTTCTTTGGATAAATGTAACAGTACTCTTCCCATTCCTTTTTAAAATATTAATTTCATTGAGGCAATGTGCGGGCCCGTTACATCACGTTGTGATGCACGTACACACCGTCAACCGGTTATAAAGGCCGGAACAGCACACGAGGGGGTGGGTGGCCAACTCCACGCTCGGCCGCTTTTGTCTCCCAAGTGGCGATGTTTTACACATCGCACCAGGTACTCATTTTAGGCTGAGTCGACCTAGGGAAGGCCCAGGACCGGTTCAGATAATAGTCACTGGTGTTGGTAGCCGTGAGTGTGAATCGAACTCGGGTCGCCGGGTTGGTAGCGTGGCACGCTCGCCACTTCACTACCGCTCCTCACAAGTGCGCGCCCACATGCACGTGTGTGCGCCTCGGTGACTGCAGACCGGCGGCCACGCCAGCACAACGGCTTCCTGGTTCCCAACCCACGCAGCTACCACGCCGAGCTGGCCCTCAGCGAGCTGCGGCCGCTGGCGGCTCCGGTCGTGGCCCAGGGTCTGCGGCGAGTGCCCTCGCCCCTACAGCACGGCACCACGGCCGCCCGCGCGCCACCCTTCCCTCCGCGGCTGCCCTCCTCCGCTACAGGCGACAGGTGGGCGAGCAGTGGTCGCACTGGTGCCTCGCAGCAAGAAGAACCTGGGTTCCATTCCCGACTCGGGCGCCTTTCCGCGTGGAGTTTGGGTGTTCTTCTGTTCTGCACGGGCTTCGTCCCGGTTCTCCGGTTTCCTCCCAGAGCTATGACGGTCGTACTATGAAATTAGAATTGGCCAAACATCCCAACGCTGAGAAATTACCTGAAAACAACTCAATTGCGATTGCACAAAGCAACATCGCCGCCTACAGCGGAAAAACCTGGCAAACCTGGCAGGACCCTCCAGATTGTTGAAACTCAGTGAGGCTTTCATGGGAAACACCATTCAAGCTGTAAAGGCAGACCTCATGCTTTCATTTGTTCAGCGAGATTTTCAACTCTTTCCAAGCAACGTTGAAAGTAATAATGAGTTGGCCGTCTGCCAGTCACACAGGAGCACAATAACGCTGGCAGAGATGATTGAACATGAACAAACTTGAATACTGTATATATTTGTGTTGCTCTGAGGGACTTTCCCTATAGATAAACGTCTAAATTGACCAAAGGTTTCATGATCCAAAGCTTGGAGATCAAAACCAGCGCTAAAACGCTTCTCGGCATCTGCATCCTGGCGGCTGGAATGCCTCCTGATGAAGTCATTGAGCATCGCGCCATCCTGTGACGTCGCACACAGTGTGATGTAATCGTGATATACGGCTTGGAACGTCATGTCGTTATTGACGATTGAATACTTCCGAGAAAAAAGATGTTGGAAAGTGTTTTAGAATCCATGCAAATGAATTTTTCTTGTTTTAAAAAAGTGCATTTGAAATTCCACACGGTACATGGCAAGATATTGATTGAATAAAATCTCACTTGTATCTTTCTCACATTAATGTAAAGCCCTCCGTTTCCCCCCCCCCCCCCAGGTCTTCTGGGAGTGCCATGCCAAGGAAGGCACTGTGAAGCCAGAGTGCAGCGTACCGGGTCAACACTCACAACCCTGCAATACCACACCTCTGCCCCTATGGGGTCACAGTACGCAAGAGTTACATCGAAATCTTGATTTGCATCTAAATGTTTGTCATTCGTTATCCCTTCACTTAGTTTACGTTTTTGTGTTTTAATTCTATGCACTGATCTACATACGCGGGAATGTGAATGCACCGATTTGATTTGTTGTAGTCTTTAGGTTTTCTACGGGCACTGATAACAGTGAATATCGAATGTGTTGGCTTCGAAGGAAAGTGCCCGCAAACTGCCGTGTCGGACTGGAAGCATTTTACGCAGCGCACACCGAGGTCACAGGCATTCTGCCGCACAGCATTACAGGGAATCTCACAATACCATGTAAGCCTAACAAAGGGCATATGCAGCCGCATTGGGGCCACCAGGCTTAAAAAAATCCTATACGTGTAGCATAAACCTAAAAAGGGCCACACTTGTTCAGTGTTGTCTCCTTAAGCTAAGATGCTTATTCTGTTTCTACCTTTATCCCAGTTGTTGGCGATTATCATCATATGCCCGGGGAGGGCATGCGTGTGCGCCACATTGTTGTATGCAGTCATGAAGCCCGTTTTTTTTCCCCACGAGCTAGTGGTAGAAGATGCTGAAACTTCACAAAAGCACAATATTAAGCATGTTTACTGCTGGATGTGGAAGTGCAAGTGTACGATTTGTATATGTTGAGAACAAAAAATTATGGGATTTTCTCTTCGTAAAACATTGCAGTATTCAATTGTACATAATTATAACAAAGCATTATAAACTGGCACTTGGCCTGGGCAGGATGGAGTGCAGTGACTTACCAGCCAGGAACAAGTGCTCCAAGCATGATCACATTTCTGCAGGGGAGTTTGTAAACTGCTTGAACTGTGATGAACAATTTACAGATGCTTATTCTGCTTCAATTTTCTTTCACTACATCCGAGCGAAAACGCAATAAAAGCAGCTTTTGTTACATCACTCTGCACATGTGCATTGTCACAGCGTTCTTATTGACAGTTGTGCTCATAAGTTCCAACTTTAGAGTGGAAAATACTGACTTTTTACTGTGCCCTGATCGTCGCATTCAAAGTACATTCAGGTTATAGCAATACGCTGATTCAATGAGCTATTTTGAGCATCACTAAGCCACGTTTTGTTTTTTTCAGAATGATGGGCCAGATACATAAAATCAAAACAATGTTTTTACTGTCAGCCACTGCGAATATCAATGACAATATCTGAACTGATTACGGCCACCTTCACCAGCCTGCACTGACCAGGAGTGAATTATGGTTAGCAGGGTTGGCTACATACTGTGCGAAAGAAGTTCAATATACATGACCGACAGTGTGGGGAGGCCTTCATCCAGCAATGGATTGACAAGAGGGTTTTATTACAAACAAAAAAATACATTTTTTAAAATATCACGGTAACATCTGTATACTCTCAACATTAAAGAGTACATACATCCACGCCACCAGGGCAAATATAGATTTGAGAATTTAATCATCCATAAGGGTAAAAATTAACGAACGCATTTTGACAAACCTTATATCTCGTAACTTACCATTTGCTCATATAAAAACTTCATAACTTACCGTTCATATTGTAAGACAATTTTTATTGAAAATAATAGATTTGATACTGTACAGGATTGAAATAAAAACGCTAACAAATAAAATGAAGTGTACTGTACTGTAAAATATATTCACACTCACTAGTGCAGTGTAGTCTTCGGTGCAGTCATAAGGTTGCATTGCCCACCAAACACCATAGCGTCGTAACATGGTGCATTGCTGTGCGCTATGCACATATTGGCCGCAACGGATTTAAACAAACATTCTATGACCCATTTTCAATGCTCAAGAAACGTGTCTTATTATAATTTTACTCTAATTTATATAGTACCGTAGATGGAGAATTTTATTATTTATTTATACATTTCAGTGTATTTGTTTTACTTAATTTTTGCACCATTAATATAATGGTAATACATCCAAAGTTCATTCTACTGAAACTTCGTTTATTGAATATTCGCATATGGAGGTATTACTGTAATTTGAACAGCCTTTCTATATAATTTTTACAGCTTACATATAAGGCTACATGGTGAGCCAATGGCATTTAGGTGCCCATCGTCTGGATGAACTTGAAAACACTCAACGCAGCTTTTAGCTCAAGTAGAATATAACCAGATGTTTTCACTCAACAGTGTGCGTTCTAGAATGTTTCTTTAAAGTGTTTATTCGTGAAAATCCCTTCCCACACTGGGTGCACACATGTGGCTTCTCGCCCGTGTGCGTTCTAGAATGTGCCTCTAAATTAGAACGATGTGCAAAGCCCTTTCCACACTCCTTGCACACGTGTAGCCATGCGCCCGTGTGTATTCTCGAGTGCGTCTCTAAATTAGAGCGTTGCGAAAATCCCTTCCCACACGTGGAGCATACGTGTGGCTTTTCGCCCGTGTGCGTTCTAAAATGTGCCTCTAAGTTAAAACGCCTCGGAAACGCCTTCCCGCACTCGGTGCACACGTGTGGCTTCTGGCCGGTGTGCGTTCTAGAATGCGTCTCCAAGTGGGACCGGCGTGTAAATTCCTTCCCACACTCCGTGCACACGTGTGGCTTCTGGCCGGTGTGCGTTATTAAGTGAAGCTTTAGGGAAGATCTGTGTGAAAATTGCTTCCCACAATCTGTGCACGCGTATGGCTTCTCGCCGGTGTGTGTTCGAACATGCATCTGCAATTGATAGTGATACGGAAACCCCTTCCCACACTCCTTACACTCGTGTTTCCCCCCGCCAGCAGTGCTGGTCACTTCACGTGCTCCCGACTTGTCCACTTGTGTAGATGCATTCTGGCGCGTTGAATGCAAGCGTTCCTCCTCTCCTGTGCGCGTCCTCCTGGTAGTCCGTCTGTAAATGCACCATGCGGCGCCCTCAAGCATCTCCCCGCACTCGCTGCAGGTTTGCAGCCTCTGTCCGGAGCATTTCACTTCATTAATTGTTTTTACAAAGCATCTGCCAAAGTTCTTCCTGCATTCTGTGCACAAGAGTCCCGCCGTTTCCTCTTTTTCATCTGTGGTGTGAGGTGAAAGCAAAATACATACACCAGTTGACGGCACAATAACATTACGAGGCGTTCACAACTTCTGGCCTTTTAAATACATGACTGTAGTGATGTCACTTGGAATTTATTTACAGAATTATTTACTCTTCAAACCATTATCAAAATCTAGGACATACATTTTAGGTATATATCTACGAGATAACTGATGTGCTGAGGTTGTGTCTTTTAATAGACAGTGACAACAGGGAAGTGCTCGTGTCAAATGGGATAAAAAAATACTTCATATTTCACAACTGTCTCAACAAAATACAACCCACTGGACTCAAGCCATGCTCTCATCTTGTTCGACATTTATCTTATTCATTATAGCACATATATATTGGTGATAAAAAGCAAAAGAAAGCAATTTCACAGTCATGTGATCAAGGGAATCTTACATTGACCAAGGTCTTCCTTCAATAACTCCACCTCAATGAAGCTCTGGTCTGGAGTGGCCGAACATCCACGGGAATCCTGCATATCATCGCTGGCTTCAAATGGATCTGTCTTCACATCTGGAGCTGTAATGTAGAAGACACACAATTGTCTTTGATGGGAGGTCTGGTTGATAAAATGACAAGCAGTGACACAAGCCATGTCAAGATTCTTCCACTACTTTTACAAATCGGATTGGCGCCTTAGTTTGGCTCTTCGAGTCATGCAGCACCAGACCAAATGTCATTCACAACTCCTGTTACCAATCTACCTGAAGAAGAAAGTGTTCAGAAACTTTGCTATGGACAATTTTTTTTACAAAAACTTAAATGTGTTCATTGAAGCATAGAGAGATCCATGCTTGGGATTCATGCAGCAGTGGATTAATCATGACTGAATATATTAAATACAGTATTCATATGATCAACACAATATTCAATACATTGCTGCAATAACTGAGAAGTTGCATTCTTAGTTTCTGACAAAAGTAATGCGGTCAATGATGACCTTCTCTGGAGACATGGATCATTCTCTTAGATATTTTAGACTTCAATGTTGCTTGACACCATCGACCATGCCCAAAACTACACCGCATCTCCGGTGGAGAGCTCCTTGCGTGGTTCTGCTCTCTGTGTCTGTAGGAAGGGCTCTTACTGTCTCTCTCCATTTCCGTTTTCACCACAATCCCCAGCATCTCGGTGTCCAGACTCCCCTCCTCTTCTTGCTTGTTCACGACCGCTCCTGTACACGTGTTCACACTCGACTGGCATGAAGACGATCATCGCCGTGAACCTCTAGATCTACCGCCGTGACAATCTTAGAATGTATAGTGGTGGAAGCTGCAGAACCCAGTGGGAGTGAAGTAAATCTAAATAATATCTCGTGCAAATCTATACAGAACCTGTAGTGGTGTGTGCATATAGCACCACCTCGTGGTCCAATGGCATGAATCTGTTTTACAGGAAGCAGTAAGTTTAATTCATAATTTCTAGGAGGGCCTTGTTTGATATTATTCAATGTTTGGGCAAGTGTGTGTTATTGCACTGGGAGAGTCTGTCTTGCAGTTGTAGCAATTATTTCACTTATGGACAGTTTTTTTCAGCTAACAAAATTTAATTTTATTTCCTGATGGAATATTAAGGCACATTCCTTTCTGCTTCATTTCATATTTCCATAAAAAGAAGCAAATTATCATCTTTCGACCCTGGAACAGAACTAAACATTACTAGAATAGAGCAGAATGAAATGGAGGTTTTAGTTTTGGAACGTGAACAAAAAATGTGGTCCATCATTCCCCATCAATCCCCTGTGCCAAGTTCATCTCACCAGCATCTGGATCTTCATTTTTAATGAAGTCAGGGCACAGCCCGGGACATGCACGTTCTTCTCGTTCTTGTTTGATGAATGCCAACTCAATGAGTGAATCCATCTTAGGAGTCAAGAAAGAAATGTATCATTTTTATTGCGACACGTTCATGTAAGACAAGGATGCCCCCTATAGCCTTAGGGGCCATCCATTTAGTAGGTACGCGAAAATCTGTCAAAACTTGACCCCCCCCCCCCTCCCTGTACGCACGAGAACTTTTTACACCACCTCCACCTGCGTACGTACGCCTGACGCACCCCCTCCCCCCTGAATCCTATAGAACGGCCGATATTGATGTAGTCCACGCAGAAACGATCAAGGATTAATCATATTAACGTGTTTAAGCAAACAGATAGTCCACCGCCGGCTGCATTAAATAAATCAGTTGCGTACCTTGGCCACTTTTTTGCCGAGCTGCGTGATAATAGCTGCAGTCAGGGGCACGGTGGCACACGAGTGACACCTCTCCCACAGCCCCACTGCTCCCGGTAGTACTTGTTGTCTCACAGCTGAAGAAACTTAACTGTGGCTCATTTGAAGGCCAATGTAGACAAATTATTATCGAAGCTTCACCCCCCCTCCGCCCCGTTTCCTACGCGTACGCACAGTCAGTAGACCCCCCCCCATACGCAAGCGAACGCATTTGGGTTAACCCCCCTCCATGCGTACTAAATGGATTGTTTCATCAGTTTTCATAGTTTCATTTATTTGGTATAGCCCTGTGAGCCATTCGGCTCTTGAATCGGGTGCAACCGCAACAAACAACAAAACAAAAACATGAACAAGAAAAACATCTTAAAGTGACTGTGTGACTGTGCAAACAGAAAATCCATGGAAAAAACATCTAAATATTCCTGAAAATAGCACCGTACACCAACGCTGCGTGCAAAAATCCCTGTGGGATGCAAGTCAAACAACAACAACAAGAAAATTAGATTAAGGCCCCTTAACAGACTTTTGGGGGCAACTGCTGTTTGCGAGCACCTATTAAGGCGAGCACAAGGGCTGCTGTGGCCAGAACCACGCCCGACCGCCTTTGTCTCCCGGTCCCAGAGTTTACACACAGCACTTAAGGCTGAGTTGCCCTAAAGGAGGCCGGTGAACGGCTCAGATAGTCTTCACTCGCAGGAGCCGTGCGTGTTTGTCAATGTAACAACGTTCAATAAAATCGGACTCGGGTTGGTTTCGCAGTCACCGCTCCCCACAACACAACGCGAGTTCTACTTCCAAGGTTCACACGGGAGATACAGAATGACGTTCAAACACTGCAACAGCCGCCGCTGAAGTGTCGGTGGCATCGCCACAGCTCTTGTGCCAGGCTAGGTGCACATCGAGGCCGTCTCCTGAAGCGTGGAAGGCTCTCGCCGCTGCTGGCAGGACGAGGTCACGGAGCAGCGCCAGCTGCTGATGGGCTTGGCTGCTGTGCCAGACGAAACAAAGGAGTCCCACCACCACCACCACCCTGTTGTGGCCTTTAACAAACTGTTGGGACAAGTGCTGTTAGCGAGCACCTGTGAAGGTCGGTCAGCACACGTGGTGGTGCGTGGCCAACACCACGCCCGGCCGCCCTTTGTCTCCCCAGTGGCGATGTTGACACACCGCACCAGGTACTCCTTTGAGGCTGAGTCGACCTAGGGGAGGCCCCACAAAAAAAAACAATTCAGATGACAAGTCAACTGGGCGTTTGTCCGCGAGCGGGAGTCGAACTCGGGTGGCCGGGTTCATAGCGCAGCACGCTACCCGCTACGCTTACCGCTCCACGGACTAATCCACAGACCCAGCTGCCATGGGTTGACTGCTGTGCCAGGCTAGGTGCCTGCCACAGATTCCACGTGCAGCCTTTTAATCAGACTGTAGCGCAAGTGCTGCTGCTGCTCCTGCTGCTCGCAGCTGTGCGCGTCGGACATCACACGGAGTGTGGTGTGTGTGGTGGTGTGTGTGTGTGGCCAGCACCACGCCCGGCCGCCTTTGTCTTCTCAATGCTGATGTACAAGAACGCACGAATTAAACAACAACAAAAAAGCGTTGCTCACGTACGCCAGGGACACTGAAAACTTTAATGCAAAGGTGAGCGACAAGATGCAGCAACGGAGGGTCGGGGGGTGGGGTGAGACACAGCAACGAGATGCCGGCACGAGGCGGCCGAGCAAAGCGAGGGACGAGAGGCGAAACGCGCGGCGCAAATGGATGCGGCGCAAGACGCGGCACTCGAGACAAACGAGAGGGCGAACAAACGAGGTGAAGAAGATGATCGGGTGGCGGTGGGTCGTTGGGGGGGGGGAGGTTTTGTCCAGGCACTCCGAGCTCTGCCACTACCTCCCTCCTCCTCCTCCACACTCGACACGGCCCCCAGCAGCGGTGGCCGCCGTTGGCCGGAGAGATTCGCGGTTCGGATATCCGGCAGGCAGCCCCTGGTTAATATTGCGGGTGGATTAAACGTCGAATACAGGAACGCGTCGGCGGCTGCTTCGTAGTGGACGTTGAGGACCCCGTGACGGTACTCTTAAGAAGGGTTAGGCCATTGGGTTTGCGACATTCGGTGGTGAGATGTTAACTATGTCTCCTGAGTTCGATCCCGACGCCTCTATATTTGGAGTTTACACGTCTCTCTCTCTCTCCCGTGGTAGTGTGGATTTTTTTTTGTCTGGGTCCTCCGGTTTTTCTCCTACACATTTAGAAGCATGCGTTCATAGTATTTGGCTGCAATACTTTCCCACGTGATAAGCCAAAAAATCGAGCTATCATTTGTGACCAGGTCGCTTCTGAAAGAGAGCTACACAGGCTTCGTGGGCCTTATCTGATAAAAGAAAAAAAAAGTGAATTTTTTATTGGGGAAAAAAATAGCAAGTTACTTATTTGAGAAGCCATATCAACCATCCCCCTCCCCCAACAAAAAAATATATCAAGACCCATCTTGAAAGAGTCTTGAGCCTTAACGAGGCTTTCCCTTGGTGAACAAAGGGGGGTGACGATGCTGCTGCAAGGTCACAACTGAGGCTCTGGTGGCACGAGTCCAAGGCACCTGGCCTGATGCATCGACGGCAGGCAGCTCCATTCTAAGGCACACCTGCCAATTTGATGAATCTCCAGTCCCCCGACGGCCGTTTTGTACACCAACACACTTGATGTGCTGCCAAAGGGCTGGAATTGTGCTCCGCTCGGCGTGCCACCGCAGAATGCAGGGGCCGGCTGGAATGCGTCTCATAAGTGAATTAACCGAAGAAGCGTTGTTTCCTTGTCCTTGACTGCTGCTGCTGCTGCTCGTGTCTGGATACTCCCACCCTCAATCCGTGATGAGAACGCATCATTACATCGGTGACGAGGTTTTATGCCAGTCCTCTTCGTCGTAGTCGTTTTTGTTTTTGCACAATTCACAACAAAGGTCTCAAAACGCAACGTCTGCATCTGCGTCAAACGATTACAAAGTAGAGAGAGGCAGGTAGTACAATCATCTCCATATATACACACAAGGCAAAGTTGTGAATGTGTGTTGTCTGTTCAAAATGTTTAGCGTACTTCCCGACATGCAACGAACTGTAAATTTGCCATGTGGGTACTTTCCAGACTGTACACCATGCAAAAATTATACAAATACACTTTTGTTTTTTTGGTAGGGGGGGCGCTCAATAATGCATAGATTTTTCACGGCAAGTGAGCTGTGACGTCAAATCTGTCACGTGACCCTCGCATGTGGAAGCGTAACGCATTGTAGTGTAGTGGTTAGCGCGCTGTCTGTGTATCTGTGTGTGTGTGTCTGTGTGTGTATCTGTGTGTGTATCTTGTACCATCGGACACTCCACCCCCACAACTCCCAATCGGTGATGGGGCAGTTGTGGAGAGAGTGGAGAGTTTCCCATACCTAGGCAGTGTGCTTATGACTGGCTCCAGTTTAACAGCAGAGGTCTCACTCCGCATCAGTCGAGCGGCAATATCTTTTCATCGGTTGCGTAACGCTGTGGAAGCTACCTGGTCTGTCGCTCCGCACTAAGCTTCAGGTCTTCTCGGCCACGGTCATTCCCTCCCTTCTCTACGCTTGCGAAACGTGGACTCCCCTAATGGAACATCTTCGCCGGTTAGAAACATTTAGGCTGGCCTGCCTACGAACCATCCTGGGTTTAACCAGACTGGATCGTGTGAGGAGCTCACAAATCCTTGAAAGATCTGGGCAAGGTCCCATCGGCGAGCTCCTCCGGTGGGGAAGGCTGCGATAGCTGGGTCATGTATCCCGCATGCCCAGCCACCGCATGCCGAAACAGCTTTTGTTCGGCCGGATTGAGGGGGCTAAACGGGCGCGGCACGGGCTAGAGAAGAGATGGAGTGATGTGGTACAGGAGGACGTGGAGCTGAGTAGACTTGCCGATGACTGGTACCAGCGGTGTCAAGATCGGCCTCTGGAGGAGGCTCGTGAAGGACGCTACTGGGCAGTTGGAGGCAGTCGCCCTCCAACAACAACGGAGGGCGGAGGAGCGACGCTCAGAACAACGAGCGGAGCGCTGGGTGGCTAAAGCACAGCAGGTTGGCACAGTAGGGAGCAAAGGTGGTGCATCAGCCAGTCATCTCAGTCAGTCGACCCGTCGCACCTGGGTCTGCCCCGTGACCTGTCAGCGGGCGTTCGACACTTCACGTGGCCTCAGGGTGCACATAGCCTGGCACAAGCGTCGTGGTGACGTCACCGCCACTTAGTGGCGAATGGCGGTTGTTGTTGGTGTGTATCTGTGTGTGTATCTGTGTGTGTGTGTGGGGGGGGGGAGTTGCAGTGTAGTGGTTAGCGCTGAGCCGAGCTACGAACCTGGCGACCCGAGTTCGATTCCCGCTCACGGCCACCACCACCACCACCGATGACAAGTATTTGAACCGGTCCTGGGCCTCCCCTAGGTCGACTCAGCCTCAAACGAGTACCTGCTGTGGTGCGTGAACATCGCCACTGGGGAGACAAAGGCTGCGGCCCGTGGTGAATCCAAGTCCCGGGCGAGGCCGGGTAGTACAGCTCGTGTAAACATATCCAAGAGAGTAACACAGTAACAGTTACCGTGCGAATTGTAGGTGTTATGAGGTGGTGAGACTCAGAATTCATCGGAGCGGCCAAAGCAGGTTCAGTATCCATCATGTATTCTTTATTTAAAGTATTGTAAAGGTTTCATATATATTATACATATAAAAACTGCTTCAAATACGTTAGCATAGAGATTTGCAGCTGCACACAAGACACCAGCTCACCCATTCCGTCGAGAGCCTCACAGCCACATACTCTGAACGCGTGTTTCTAAAATGTGGACGGAAAACTCGGGAGGACCCGAAAAAATCCACGCGACCACGGGGAGAGAGACACACCGCAAACTCCAAATATACAGCAGCAGGCGTCAGGGTCGGGCTGGAACTCACAACCTCCTGTACACCAGGCGAGGTAGTTAACATCTCCTAGCCACCGTGATGATGATGAGACAGACACACCGTAAACTCCAAATATACAGCAGCAGGCGTCAGGGTCGGGCTGGAACTCACGACCTCCTGCATACGAGGCGAGGTAGTTAACATCTCGCGAGCTGTTCGCCAATTACCTCGCTTGCCACACCACCCAGCGACTCATCCTGGGTGTGCGTCCACACACCCGACAAACCGGCTCGAGCCCCCTCCGATCCCCATACAAAGCACCCAAACCCCCAGCCACCTTCAACACAGGCGTGGCCACAGGTCACAAACCATAGACGCAGCCGGAGTTAGGCTTTTGCAGAATGACCGTCCGTCACAAGTGCACGTCCGAGGGCAGTGCGTTGATCGAGCGGGCGTCGCACGCGAGAATCATTGCTGCGGGGCGGGTTGGGTTATTGACGCCACGTCGAGGGAATCTCCGACGGTGGTGGAGCCACCCGGGGGGTTCCCCTGGAGTGCACGTGCTGGGGATGAGCGCAGGAGCGAGCGGTATCGGTGTAGTGCTGTGCAGATTCTCACGAGCGATGAACGGTGCCGTGGCTGAAAGCTGGGCCACCTGGGAAGCGTGTGTGTGTGTTGGCCACGTGCGTTTGTTGTTATCGTCGTATTACTGATCAATAATAAAAACAAACGGAGTGAACGAGAGCTGCGGTGGAGTCTATGAGCCCGGCCCAGATGTCACATTCCTCGGGAGCTCGTGTGGCCGCATTACTTTACCGGTTCCATTTTCTTGTGTGGCCAATAATGATGAAGTATCTGATAACGTATTCTTGGTTCTTTCGGTAAAGTCACGTAGACGGGAAACAATAAAATAATAAAAAAATATAAAACAATAAAGTTCTCACGACGTTTCGACTGCAACACAAGCAATCATCATCACGTGTGAAAACCACAACAAATTTTCTTGTTGTGGTTTTCACACCTGATGATGATTGCTTGTGTTGCAGTCGAAACGTCGTGAGAACTTTATTCTTTTATTGTTTCCCTTCTACGTGACTTTACCGAAAGAACCAAGAATATGAATCCCTGCAGTCACGAAAGCTTTAAATCAAAATTGATGTGATAACGATTTGAAATGAGTGAGGTTATCAAGTAATTTCCTTGCCATCTGATCTTCGAGGGAAGGGCGCTTTAGAAGTTTAAATTAGTATTACTAATTCACTCTCAGTCGCCGCATACGTTTAGCGGTACGACTAAAGTCTTGCTACCGAAGCTGCTCTGGCCCATGGACTGATGGTCGCTAATGTAGCTTGGTCCTATAGCAAGCAAGGCAAGAACAGCGATATCATTCTCTAGTCATACAGCGTGGGCTTCCACGAGTAATGAACCACATCCCCAATGATCAGTCACATTTAGGATCGATTAAAAGATGAAAGACACTTAATTAAGCTCAGGAAGGTTCAAGGTAAGGCACAAATCTGCAATACTGCGATGGGCAAAACGTCCTCCTCATCATTGACCCTGGCGTTGTGCGGATGAGAATCGATTATTATGTGCAATGTACGTAAATGTTATGGAAAATATACGCTGTTATATTTACGCTAATGGAGAAACAATACAAACGAAACGGCAAAGATGACAAAAACGATTGAATTAAATCACGATCGAAACTGACAGCTTGCCACACCGCAGGGAGGGTGAATCATTAGGTGCCTAGTTACATTTTCAACGTATGATGTAAACCCCTCGTGCCGATGTTTTCTCTGCAATCACTCAAAATATGCACTTGACATTTATCCTGGTCCGTTTACATATTGGCACGTCACCATGAATCTGTTTAATATTTCTGTAACTAAATGTAACTGTACACGTGTTATCAAGGAAGGCCATTGCCCGAAACGTCACCAATTGTTATTCTTTTATTTTAAAGCAGTGTTGTTGAAGTGTAGTTTTGTGTTCGTGCACCCACTGCCAACGCTGCATCACCATAGAAATGTACGCAATATTTTACATTTCTCATGTGACAGTTGCTTTTCCTATTGATTTCTAATTATTTCATTGCTGTATTTTTTTGCTTGTCCCAGGGCACTCTTGCAATGAGACTACAGTGGTCTCTTCAGCTCACACGTGGTTAAACAAATAAACATTGCAAGGACCCTCTTGATAGCGAGCTTTGAGACTCATCGAGATAAAGGACTGAATATCACTACACGAACAAGGACTAAAGATTTGCATAAAAGCATTCGGTGCTTAGATCCCCACGTATCTCAGTCCCTTACATCTCATCTCAATCATTGCGATGCCCAGCTGTGCTATTTTAGCTTACGGGGGTCCCCTTGATGACAGCTCTCTCTTTGCGGCACAAGCGGACATAGCACCGGCCTGCAAAGGGGCATTCGACTGCCTGTAGGAGACAATACGTTGCTATTGGTTGTTACAATGAGTTTTTTTTAATCAAATTGGACCATGACACCGGCACACAATGCCCTACTTTTTTCCCGAATGACGTCACAGGAGTTTTAATGTCCACTGCAGACGTTGCGGGTCGTGACCCACGAAGCATTATCCAGGGCGGCAGGGCCTTGAACCACAGAAATCTGCAGCAAGTAGGAAACGCGCTACCACTCGGCTGTATCACACAATTACGAAGCGTCAATTAAAAACAATGTACCAACAACAAATCACGTGTTTTTGTATTGTAAATGTTGAATATAAAAATTTATTACAAATGATTTTATGTTCACGATACATGCAAAGAATGGGATCAGAAATGTTTAATTCCTATGTTTATAGTTGATGTCTAAACCACTAACTTCTATAATGATAGCTATTTTGGGAGTTGAATCGTGATCCCTAGTTGTGATATTTTTCAAATAATGGAGCTGGTAATTCATGATTGCATGTAAACGAAAGGATACAGTAAGCCCATTACGGGAATGCAGCCGGGCAGAGCTTGACAAAAATAAATCAGAATTTCAAACCAGATGGAAAATGTTTAATTCGAGATTTCCACATCGCAGTGTGTTACAGAATGCTTCTTTAAACGAATGCTCCGTGAAAACCCCTTCCCGCACTCCTTGCACACGTGTGGCTTCTCCCCAGTGTGTGTTCTAGAATGCACCTTTAAGTCAAAATGTCGTGAAAACCCCTTCCCGCACTCCTTGCACACATGCGGCTTCTCTCCCGTGTGCGTTCTAGAATGAATCTTTAAATAAAATCGCTCCGAAAACCCCTTCCCACACTCCTCGCACACAAATGGTTTCACCCCAGTGTGCGTCATAACATGGGTCTTTAAGTTGCAACGTTTTATGAATCCCTTGCCACACTCCTCACACACGTGTGGCTTCTCGCCAGTGTGTATTTTATAATGGGCCTTTAAAGCGGACCGTGTTTTAAATCCCTTATCGCAATGCGTGCACACTTGTGTCTTCTCGCCAGTGTGTATCACGCTATGTATTTTTAAACTGGAACACGTCGTGAAGCCTTTTCCACACTCCTTACACACGTAAGGCCTCTCGCCGGTGTGTGTTCTAAGATGCACCTTTAAACCGTAATGATGTGTAAACTCCTTGCCACACTCCTGGCACGTGTGCTTCGTCCCACTGGCATTGCTCATCACATTGCGCACCCCTGACTTCTCATGTTGTGTGGACGCCTTTCCGCGCATCGCTCTCGAGTATTGCTGCTCATTTCCGGTGTACATCCTCCTGCGTTGCCTCTTCATGTAAAACGTGGTGCCTGCCAGCATATTCCCGCACTGCGCACAAGCCTGCGCAGCCTGGCCACCTCCGTTCACTTCGTCCACCTTCACTTTGAAGAATCTTCCGGAATCCTCCCCACACTCCTCGCACAGGAGTTCTGCTTCATCTGCCACACATTTTTAAAACAAACTGCATCACTTGCAGTTGCATTCAAACGACGGTCAGTTTTCGGCCTGACCCATAACTTTAAAGCGTCACTGCAGCAGTTAACCCCAATCAATACAGCTACACCTCCTGGATATCGCTGTTTTTCTGCTAAGTGTGACTTGAAACTCTTGGCAGTCTGGGTAACACAGCCAAGATCAATATTCACTCAGGGAAATGGTTTGGTTTGCATCTTCCTTTAAGTGACTTCCTGGAGCTTGCATCAGATGGGATAAAACTGCAGTATTACTCACTGCTTCTCAATACAGACGGTCTCCGGTTTACGGCATTCCGATTTACAGACTATCCACATTTACGATGTTTATATAATGGTACCATGGATCGATATAAACAACCTGAATGACGACGTATCGTGGGCATGACTCCGAACACATCCGAACAAGAGTCGGTCTGGTTTCCGACGTGACTTACCTATTAAGCCCTGTTAAATATGGCTAATAAAAGGAAAAACACATTGGCAAGTGGTGTTTCTACTGTTTCTACCATCTATGGGAAAATAAGGTGGCATTTAAGACGATCCGATTTATGACTACGGAGTTTCCAGGAACGCATTGTAACGTCGTAACAGCCGGGACCCGTCTGTACATCTAACTCGCAGTCTCCACGGTACACACACGAATCGAATAACTGTTCGACTTCAAACTACAGAGGTCATATTTGTAATGTGATGCGATCAAAAGGGATTCTCACCTTGGCACATGTCGTCTGGTGACAATTCCACCTCGATGAAATTCTGGTCTGGATTTTCCAGATATCCATGGGCATCCTCTGCCTCCTCTGAGCTCTCATCGACTCCTTCCAATTTAATTGCATTCATTTCTGGAGCTGTAATTAGGAACGTGCATCTTGGTCGTTAATGAACGGGAGCTCTAATATAGATTGTGTGTGGATATACAATACAAGGCAGTCACACAGAATAAAAATGGATATTTCTCACAACACACTTAGAAGTCTTAAGATGTTGTCTCAGACTCTTTGAATCTTCTACTTCCAAGTGGTAGTAACATTTGCCTGCTATTATCTTTGACTACACTCTTTTCCAAAAAATACCTTAACTTTGAGTGACTTATATTGAGGTCATTATTTAAGCACTCTTTGAAAGCTCCAGATACACATTTTCATAGCACTAGTCTCAGCATGAAAAGGTTCATATACTTTCTTGGCCTCAGAGTTTGTGGAGCTCCAAATCGAAAATATACGTTTCAATCAGCATCTTAAAACCCTCCAAACATAAACAAATTGTAGGGATAACATAACCTGTGACCTCTCTATTAATGTCTTAAACTAATGAGGCATCTCAGGTTGTGTAGTTTCCATCTAGCTGCATGTAGTAGCAAGGGGTCTTACCATATTCCTCTGATTCGGTTTTCACCACAATCGTCAGCATCTCAGAGCCCAGTATCCCTTCGTCTTCTTGCAACACAACTGCTCCCGCACACGTACGTTCACACTTGACCGTCACAAGCAGCTGGTTCAAACGGCCAATACCATACACATGCAACACAGAAACACGACCACCCAGATTTAAATCCAGGTTTTATGCCCTCCCCGTGATCAGACCAGCTTCGCAAATGTAGCAAGTTGATGGTCTTGGCACAGTTCGAATGGCTGCAAAATGTTTACTTAAATATTTGAGAATATTCAAGCCCTGGAAATGACTTTTAAAACATTATCGAACACAACTGGGTAGGACAACGTATTCGGGAACACGTGCCTTTGGTTTAACAACCACAGCGAGATCAAGATCGATTGAGTGGTGGTAACTACACACGCCTGCAATCCAGTACTGTGCAGACCAGGGTTGGTGGATCCCACAAATGTTGCGAAACTTCCTTCCCGTGGGGGTCGAGGAGGTGCCATAACCTGGCTTGCCAGGAGAAAGGCAGTGCAGAAAAGTGCATGCAATTATTATCAGCCCCTTCTGTATGGGAGACAGCGCTGCACCCTCACAGGTGTGGTTTTTATCCCTGGGTGCTCCGGTTTCCTCCCACATGTACAAACATTAATTGGCAGAAAACATTTTCATATATCGGGGATTGCAGAGCTTGGGCAGTTGTTGGTGCCGTCTCACCACCGAGCTGCCTTCCAGCTCGTATGTGGTTCCTCAGCAATTGTGAGATAGCATTTGCATTAATGACGCTATATAAAGCGTAAAACTAAACATTTACATTATTGTAACCATCGTCAGTTGGACATTTCTTCACTGTTACTATGGCTTTAAGTACGGCACAGTGATGGCAGGAATGCGGTCGATGACGGCCAGTCATAAATACAACTCAAATTGCAAATTGACCCAATGGGCACTACTTCATTCAAGATGCCTGCCTGTCAAGAGATAAGAGTGTGAATTATCGCTTTTACAAAGCTCAGGTGGTGTGGTGATGAGGTAATTAAGGCAGGGAGTTCTTCTGAGGGTGGGGAATGAGACTAAAATTTGGATGAAAAAAATATAATTGTCATCTGTGTATAGTTAATCCAAAAGCAAAGGTGGTGGCATTTCAGACTGATGATGATGGTCTCCTTGCTGTTGTCAAAATGTCTTACCTATCAATGACAAGGCTGGCACATGCTCTCGTTTCGTGTCATGACTTTCATAAGCACTTTATGCAAAGCGTGTGAAGTGTGTGTTCATCATACGATGAATAACTATAATTTCTGCAGCACCAACAGTCAGCAGAGCCTCGTGTAATCACATGATGGAATGGCCCCAGGAAAGAATTGCACAAAATAATTTCAAAAAGGAATTGCAGCTTCAATAGAACTATCATACTCTACCAAATATTACGCTTGTAGAGAGGTTTGTGATGTTTTAATCTGGTGTTGTAATGATTACACGAATTCAATCGTAGGTCGTGTAGTCCAGTCATCTCACCAGCATTAACATCTTCACCCGTCGCTGTCAGATCAGGACACGTCCAAGGGCTTGGATTTTCTTCATTCTCTTGTTTGATGAATGGCAAGTCGAAGTGTGAAGCCATTCTAGGATTAAAATATATAAGCACACTCATGTATACATGTAAACTAGTGTACATATCATGAAACACTGCTGACGTGGACAAAAAGACAGACAATACGAGAAACTATACCAGTTGGTGTAACTGCAACACGGGGGACATGAAAAATACCATTCACACTGCAAACGCAGACCTCGCTCATTCATGTGTTCTTGAGAGCTTTTTAACTCTTGACACCAAGGTTGAAAGCATTAACGCATTAGCTCCCAGCCTGTCTGTTATGCAGAGGCACAATAATTCCGGTGGAGATGATCCAATAATAATACATTTAGTAGAACCCGATGAATCCTAATCAGCCTCCCAATTAGGGGGAAGAATCTCCCGAATGCTGTGTTTGTGTTGCGGGATAATAAAAAAAAAACATTTAAAATAAAAACGCCTTTAGTGTGAAGTTGGGTTTTGCTCATAATACGTTTTTTTTTAGTTAGATCGCGTAAATATATAAATGTGTCGTTAAACCCACCACCACCCGACAAAGTCAATGAGTTAGTTTGTCACATCAACAGAACGTGCCAATTCGTTACTAGTACAGCACACTGGTGCTTTGGAGAGCAAATACACATTTACAATTTGAGTACAGTGACGTTTCTAGTATCATCAGGCAACAGCCAGATTTATGGAGAAATCTTCCTGTTTCGTTCTTAAATAAAGGGATAGATGTGATGTCGTCACTTGCTATTTTGGACCCTTGGTCTACAACAGTGTTCTTCACTCATTTTCAGATTGGGGGCCACTTTCGCCGAGAAGACACCACCAGTTTGAGGGTCGCCACACATTTGAAACCATTGGGTTCCACGGCACAACGATGGGGGCCTTTTCACATGTGTATTGTCGCGGGCCCGCACTAAAGGCCACCAGGGGCCGCCAAGAACACTTCCCTACACAGAATACCGGCCACAGTGATGAAATGCCTGGGCTGCCCTATCCTGCCAACCTCCAATACCAGGCCAGCGGGAGGTGGGGGAGAGGCCACGGGTTTTCAAATCGCGGTTTCGAGTCTCCACGCATCAGTAGCACGGTTGGCTACTTACAGTGCTAAAGAAGTTCAACATACATAACATTACGTATACCATTTTGCCAACCGCGGATTACAGTTTTGCGTAACCACGGTTTAGTTTTCTGCCACCGGCGATTTCAAATCTCCGGCTGGGTGCAAGCATCTGCCACCAGTGGTGCATCACGCGCGTGTACCCACCACGCGTCGTTCAATGTTGTGCAGCAGTCGCTAAAGAGCAGTGCTGTAACAGCGACTTTCAAGGGCTATTACATACTTGTCAACTCATACTGTTTACCCATATTCTTGTACAGGGAAAGTGAGTTTTCAGGTCCATATGGTGTATAGCCGTTTCAATACGGGCAAACATTATGGGACCTTTCTTGTCAGTATATTAAAATATAACAATAGGTTTTACCCTTTCTGGCAATTAAACAGGTTTTTTGTTTGCATGTTCACCAGAAGTACGTGTGGTTAATGCAGACAGGATTCCTTGAATAAGGATTCTGTTTGGTGTTTTAACATCTTGACACCTGTTTAATTGCCATGAAGGGTAATACAACCTATTGTTATACGTGCAAACATGTTGTCTATTTGTTTGTTTCTCCCTTGTGATGGGACTTTGTAGGATGAACGTGGAGATTTATAAGGGCACTGGGTGACCAATAAGGTCTGAATTGGTCTGTAATAAGGTAGTCACTGATACGGGGTTGACTGGTAATGCTATTACATGCGGCGCACTTTTGCAGGGATCCTCGACCCCATGGGGAGCGATTCAACACTGACGCAAACATTAAGGAGTCCGCTGATGAGGGTAAGCAGTCAACTCGCAATGCCTGCTTTGGGGGGGGGGTGGAAGGAGGCAGTCAACCACTTCCAAGGATTCCCTAGTCTCTTTTTCCAGTTATGAGGGGGACAGTCTCTCATCCCTGTAACAAACTAACCCCTTATTTTCCACAAGCCTTTAGTCTCGCCAAACGCGGGGTTATCAGGAACCTAACCCCCTATATCTTCCGCAAGCCTTTAGTCTCTCCAAACGCGGGGTTATCAGGAACCTTACCCCGTATTTTCCACAAGCCTTTAGTCTAGTCAAACACGGGGTCATCAGGAACCTTACCCCCTATTTTCCACAAACCTTTAGTCTCGTCATCCACGGGGTCATCAGAAACCTAACCCCCTATTTTCCACAAACCTTTAGTCTCGTCATCCACGGGGTCATCAGAAACCTAACCCCCTATTTTTCACAAACCTTTAGTCTCGTCATCCACGGGGTCATCAGAAACCTAACCCCCTTATTTTCCACAAACCTTTAGTCTAGTCAAACACGGGGTTATCAGGAACCTAACCCCCTATTTTCCACAAACCTTTAGTCTCGTCATCCACGGGGTCATCAGAAACCTAACCCCCTATTTTCCACAAACCTTTAGTCTAGTCAAACACGGGGCTATCAGGAACCAAACCCCCTATTTTCCACAAGCCTTTAGTCTCGCCAAACAGGGTTATCAGGAACCTAACCCCCTATCTTCCACAAGCCTTTAGTCTCTCCAAACACGGAGTCATCAGGAACCTAAACCCCTATTTTCCACAAACCTTTAGTCTAGTCAAACACAGGGTTATCAGGAACCTAACCCCCTATTTTGCACAAACCTTTAGTCTCGTCATCCACGGGGTTATCAGGAACCTAACCCCCGCGGCGCTTGGCGAGAGACTGGCTGCACGTGGACTTACATGCGAAGGTGGCATTGCTTCTCTCTCTTTCTCATTTACATTTCCCACGACCACGCCTGTGATCGCGTTGTCTTTTCACTTCTCCCGTGACGATGGTCCTGTGTTGTTGTTGTTGTTTCTTTGTGTAACCGACGGCAGCGAGGGATCCTCTGTTCGGGAGCTAAATTGGGAAAATGTCCGAGTGGTGCTCCGCGATTCTCGCTCGCCACCACGTGCGGACTTCAGGAGCGAACTCTTAAATCCACCACCGCCACCCTCCACGCCACCACCACGACCACGCCACCACCATCACCCTCCACCATCACCCTCCACGCCGCCACCACCCTCCACCATCACCCTCCAGGCCACCACCACCACCATCCTCCACCACCCTCACCCTCCACCACCACCATCACCCTCCACCATCACCACCACCACCCTCCACCATCACCCTCCAGGCCACCACCACCACCATCCTCCACCACCCTCCACCATCAACATCACCCTCCACCACCCTCCACCACCTCCACCACCCTCCACCACCTCCACCACCACCCTCCATCACCCACCACCACGACGACCAACCGGCAGAACCGTACAACATCATCTTCTACGACTTTGGTTCAAATGGCCACCTAGCTGCTCGTGCAAGTCGGTTGTGTGTGTGGGGGGCTGTAGGAGGCGGCGAGGGTGGGGGGCACCTTACTCATGCAGGGAGTCCCACTCGCGGCGACGCAGGACCTGCCAGTCCCCTCGCTGCTGCTGCTGCTGCTGTTGTTGTTGCTGTGGTGGTCGCCTCCTCCTCCTCCTCCTCGCCGCCGCCGCCGTCTTCATCTCGTCGAGGCGGCCTCCGCCGCTGACGCCGCCCGCCCCGGCGCGCCTCGGCACCCGCCGGGCCTCCGCCTCCTCCTTCCCCTCCTCCTCCCGGCGCCTGCGCTCGGGCTCCATCGTCTTGAGGCGCCGAGCGTGGCCGCCCTTCCTCTCACTCCTCCTGGGCATGGCGAGGGGCCACGGCGGGAGGGAGCCGGAGCCGGAGTCGCCGGCGGCGGCGGAGGAGGCGGGGGAGGTGAAGAACGCGAAGGGTGGAGGGGGGGGATGATGAAGAGGGGGGGGAGGGATGAAGGGGGGAGATGAAGGGGGGGAGGGCGACAAGATGCGGCGGCAAGACGACACCCACACACCACACCACACACAACACAAATCAGCGGTTTAACACGTAGGCTTTCATACTCTTTGGTTCTTTCGGTGAAGTCACGTAGGGTATAAAATAAAATAAATCACGACGTTTCGATCGCCAACGCACCAGCGGTCGTCCTCAGGCGGCGTAAAAAAAAATACTTCCAGCAGTGGAACTGCTGAACCAGCCTACGAAACCTCGTGCTCTAAATCCTAAACGTTGCGGGTTCACTCTTCAAACACGCCGACGGGCTGAATGATTAACTAATTGTCGTTTTATATTCTTGGTTCTTTCGGTAAAGTCACGTAGAAGGGAAACAATGAAATATTAAAAAACATATACGTGACTTTACCGAAAGAACCAAGAATATGAATCCCTGCAGTCACGAAAGCTTTAAATCAAAAATTGGCGTTTTGTTAACGAGTCACAATTTTTATCGACTGATTGGCCGTGTCAGGTGGTGGAGGGTTGCGACACATTTATACTTACGCGATGTAACCCAGAAGCCTTTATTATGAACAAATCACCTGCGGTACGGCTGTTTTAATACACAACATAATCAGGAAGGACAAGTTCTAAGGGCTCGCATAATGAACCTACATAATGTACCTTGACTAAGTAACCCCCTCCCACCACACACACACATTGTACAAGAGCACAAGTTTGGTCACCACATCTACGCCTCGATATGAGGAACGAAACAGGCGGACTCCTACACAAATCTGGCTGTCGCCTGATGAAGCCAGTTGTAATTACTGGCGAAACGTCGTACTCAGATTGTAAATGTTGTGGGCTTGGCTCTCCAACACACACCGGTGATGCTGTGCTAGTGACAAATTGGCCACGTTCTGTAGTACGTGACAACCCTTACTAGTTGGCTGTGTCGGGTGGTGGCGGGTTTTAACGACACATTTATACATTTACGCGATATAACCCCCCCCCAAAAAACCTTTATTATGGACAAATCACCTGCGGGATTACCTCTGCGTTGGCGGTGGGTTGCACCAAGGGCATTTAATTAACGCAACAACAACCAAGTTAACATAATATCGACACGTGCGTCAATACCCACACACACTGGGTTGTTTTAAATGAAGGATCGTTGCCCGAAACGTCGGCCCGTGCACGGCGTTGATGTTCTGATTGCGGTTGATGGTTAACAACAGAGTCGCATCTAACGCGTGCGCTTTTCGCGACAAATATCGCCAATTGCTGGCGAAACGTCGTGCTCAAGAGTGAATGTCGTGGATTTGCTCCCCAAACGCACCGGTGTTGCTCTGCTCGGAACGAAATTGGCCACGTTCTGCTCACGTGACAAACCCTCACTAGTTGGCTGTGTCGGGTGGTGGCGGGTTTAACGACACATTTATACATTTACGCGATCTAACCCAAAACAATGTATGGGCCAGAGGTCAAAGCCGGTTGGTGAGATGTTTGGGTTGTCTCGCTTGAGGTGCGCACTCTGGATATCCGCTTCTTTCCACTCTTCCGTCAGCGTTCTTCTGAATATATGTTTATAGAACGGGTTTCGGATTTAAACATTGAAGACTTAAGGAATGTTTTGTTTAATGGAACATTCGACATTTTGGTTTCATTTTCCGCCGGCGTCTGGAATTCCCTTCTCTCTTCTGCAGTGGCGATACAACATCGTGAATTACCGTGGCGACGATGTTCTTCAAAACCCGTCTTTATTATTCACAATGCACAACGGAGGCTTTCACAACGGCGTATTTGTGAACGTTGCAACAAGACGCGAGGCCCCGACAACTTCAAATCTTCGTCCAGCAATGAATTGACCACGGCGGCGGCTGCTGCTTATAAACCACGCAACGATTAAGACGATTTAAATACACGGGCGCTCACCTATCGCAACTCCGCCGTGTTCATTAGAAATTGTACGCATCAGAAAGTTACGTGGTTGTTTGTTTTTCCTTTTTCATATTGACTACAACAAGCCCGTCTCGCCTCTTTCCAGTTCCTAGGTTGGTGACAAACATCGCTCCGGGTCGCGTGTTCACGCTCCTCCTGCGGAATCTCGATGGTGATGGAGCCACGCTGAAACGCAAAGGGGCGGGGGGGGGGGTCTCCCCCTCTATTTCACACCTTTGGGGTGGTAGTGAATGAGCGATGTTCGCGCGGTACCTGTGGCCAATGTCTCCCAACCTTTCTGGAAGATTTTGCTGTTTTTTCCCCCGGATTTTTCTGTTTGCGCATAGTCACTTTAAGATGTTTTTCTTGGTTCATGTTTGTTGTTTGTTGCGGTTGCATCCGATTCAAGAGCCGAATGGCTCACAGGGCTATACCAAATAAATGAAACTATGAAAACTATGAAACAATCCATTTAGTACGCATGGAGGGGGGTTAACCCAAATGCGTTCGCTTGCGTATGGGGGGGGGGGGGGTCTACTGACTGTGCGTACGCGTAGGAAACGGGGCGGAGGGGGGGTGAAGCTTCGATAATAATTTGTCTACATTGGCCTTCAAATGAGCCACAGTTAAGTTTCTTCAGCTGTGAGACAACAAGTACTACCGGGAGCAGTGGGGCTGTGGGAGAGGTGTCACTCGTGTGCCACCGTGCCCCTGACTGCAGCTATTATCACGCAGCTCGGCAAAAAAAGTGGCCAAGGTACGCAACTGATTTATTTAATGCAGCCGGCGGTGGACTATCTGTTTGCTTAAACACGTTAATATTATCAATCCTTGATCGTTTCTGCGTGGACTACATCAATATCGGCCGTTCTATAGGATTCAGGGGGGAGGGGGTGCGTCAGGCGTACGTACGCAGGTGGAGGTGGTGTAAAAAGTTCTCGTGCGTACAGGGAGGGGGGGAGGGGTCAAGTTTTGACAGATTTTCGCGTACCTACTAAATGGATGGCCCCTAAGGCTATAGGGGGCATCCTTGTCTTACATGAACGTGTCGCAATAAAAATGATACATTTATTTCTTGACTCCTAAGATGGATTCACTCATTGAGTTGGCATTCATCAAACAAGAACGAGAAGAACGTGCATGTCCCGGGCTGTGCCCTGACTTCATTAAAAATGAAGATCCAGATGCTGGTGAGATGAACTTGGCGCAGGGGATTGATGGGGAATGATGGACCACATTTTTTGTTCACGTTCCAAAACTAAAACCTCCATTTCATTCTGCTCTATTCTAGTAATGTTTAGTTCTGTTCCAGGGTCGAAAGATGATAATTTGCTTCTTTTTATGGAAATATGAAATGAAGCAGAAAGGAATGTACCTTAATATTCCATCAGGAAATAAAATTAAATTTTGTTAGCTGAAAAAAACTGTCCATAAGTGAAATAATTGCTACAACTGCAAGACAGACTTTCCCAGTGCAATAACACACACTTGCCCAAACATTGAAAAATATCAAACAAGGCCCTCCTAGAAATTATGAATTAAACTTACTGCTTCCTGTAAAACAGATTCATGCCATTGGACCACGAGGTGGTGCTATATGCACACACCACTACAGGTTCTGTATAGATTTGCACGAGATATTATTTAGATTTACTTCACTCCCACTGGGTTCTGGAGTGGTAGTGAATGAGCGATGTTCGCGCGGTACCTGTGGTCAATGTCTCCCAACCTTTCTGGAAGATTTTGCCGTTTTTTTTTCCCCGGATTTTTCTGTTTGCGCATAGTCACTTAAAGATGTTTTCTTGGTTCATGTTTGTTGTTTGTTGCGGTTGCACCCGATTCAAGAGCCGAATGGCTCACAGGGCTCTATACCAAATAAATGATACTGAAACTGACCGTCATTCGCAAATCTTCGAAACGTGTTCGCACCACCGCCGTGCACCGATGGCATGTCGTTCAAAACTAACACGACTCTTTAACACCGTGGCATCTGCCACAGGTCCACGGACCACTTTCCCCCGGAACCACAAATTGGGAACTACTGTCACAGGCAATAATATTCACGTCGGTGATAGCCGAGATGGGAGCCACGTGGCTCCAGCTACATGCTCTAAAAAAGTACGTTGGCTTAATTTTAGAGACGCAGACGAAAATCCACATCTCCCCACTCAACAATCATTTAATATAAATGAATAGATGGAACTAAATAACAAAACTAATTATTTGTGATGCTGCGTTGGCAGTGGTGGACAGGCACAAATAACAAAACACTCAACACATTGAACAATAACACCGTGACCCTCAAAGGAAAACACAATACATCGTTTTAGACAATGGCCCGTCTTCACAGCACATAACATCGGGTACACTTAGTGAATATTAACGTTTCAGTTACGACAAACATGCAATACTGCAGCAGGTTAAAAACGTCATCATTAACCGTCACGTTTACACAAAATTGCACGGTTAAGACTGAATCCAAAATGACTTCTCACGTTCTTTCCCAATTGAAAACACAGCAGAGTTCGTATCACCCCGTGCTAGACTGATACAAGGGAGCCAGGACTCTGACAGTACATCAAGGAGGTTGTTGCCAGGCATGGCCACCTGTGAAAAAGGGCTTCATAGCTTATCGGGTTCTTACAGCTTAAATCAAATGTCGATGTAATGATGCATCAATTATTTTAAATACATTATGCTCACGGTAAATGCATAGAAATGTGCATACGACAATCGATTATATAAAATATGTACACATTTTATGAAATTATACGCCGTCAGTATTGTTGTAGTAAACTTAACTGTTGCAAGAGATTAAGGGAATGATGTGGCCTCCCTAGTCTATGTATTAAAGATACAATCTTGTTTATGGTGTGTGGCTGGATTCTGTCTGATAAGCTAAACCTGAATACCAAGGTGCGTGAGCCAACATCGCGGGTCTGGCTGTGGTGGTTCCACTGATGAGGTCGATGCTTCTTGGGGCAAGAAAGTGTGGGAGGTGTCAGACACCATCATGTGATCCCC